TTGCGCGGCCGTGGGAAGGCCGCTGGCTCCAAGGAGAAGCCCGCTCGCAAGCGGCCTGCATCGCGCATGTCTTGATAAAGCCGTCAGCCATCCTGACTCGTCGACATCTTTTGTTGCATCCTATTCTCTTTACCTCCACCCCTGCCCCGAATTCGAAATCTGATATGCTGGATTTGCATGTTCCGAATAACTGTCTGACAATGCGTTCTCTGTTGGTCTGGATCCGAGAGTAAATGTTGTTTATAATATTTCAGACATATCTCGGATGGGCTTCGGGGTTGGATTTTGAAAGGTTTCTTGAACATTTCTGAAAACGCGTCTCGGCTAGAATGGCCTCGGGGTTGGGCTTCGCAGGGCGTCTTCGACAGTTTCTCGAAACGCCGCTATTGTTGGATTGCGCCACGAAGATTGCGCCACGATGGTTTCGCTTTTCTGCAACGCGTAGATAACACCACATAGCTAACGCCACGCAGAGAACGTAGATGACACCACATAGGTTGCGCGCAGACACCGCAGAGAACGTAGATGACACCACATAGCTAACGCCACGCAGAGAACGCAGAGAACGTAGATGACACAATATAGCAAGCGCCACACAGCTGACACCACATAGGTTGCGCGCCGCGCTCGTAGATGCCACTCTTCCGCTGATATTGTTGGGCCCAAGTGTCTGGGCTCGCCCAACGCAGAGGGCTCGCCCCTGCATTGCCTGTCTTAGACAATTCCAAACGACTTTCGGGGCCATGGACTTTCCGACCATGCTGCAAGGTCAACTCGACTTACTCAACGCTCTGGTCACCCAAGTAAATTCCGCAGAGTTCAGGGAACGCTGCACTACTGTGCTCGCGACCCTCATGAACCAGATCGCCCGGACGCGGCAGATCCAACCGCAGCAGGCAGCGAGGTGCATCCACCTGGTCGCAGCGAGCCAACTCGACGGGCCCTCGAGGGCCCAGCTCGTCACCGCCATCAGCGACCTCGGCAACCCGACGGCCCCAAGGGCCCAGCGCAACTCCGACATCCTGAACATCCACCACTACCTGACCCCACGCGTCTGGGATGCGATTCAGGACGACAACATGACATGCGCCTCAAAGCTCAAAGTGATTGGGGGCTTCTTGGAACAGCTGGGCCTGGTGAGTCCAAATGAACCCTCCTACGTCCACCTGACTGCCCTACTATTCATCTGCGGCCGAGTCAACATGGCCTCCGTGACGTACGATGCTGCCTTTCAGGTGCTGAAAGATCTCAAGGCGATGATGAGGGGCATCAGGACGAGGACGCCGAGGACTCCGGGGCCAAAGTTTTCAACCTGAAATCCTGCCTCGAACACGCCAGAGGACAATTGAGGAGGGGGGCGAGCTGATTCGTGCCCCTGGCAGAAAACACAAGGATGAGGGAAGGTGGGAGGTGGGCCAAGGGATCATGCCAAACGAATTTCCCCCCAGGATGCCGCACCACCATCGGATCTCGAGGCTCACCGTGGACCATGGGGAGTTGGAGCGGGCGGGGCCAGAGTTGCATCGCAGGGTTTACACCGAATGCGACGGCCACCCAGCGGCCAATCGTGTAGACGAGCACGCCCTCATACAATCGCTCGCGCTCTTCCGACGCAGCCCCGTGGCCAAACCGAACATCAAGAGGGGGGGGATGGGGAGGGAGAGATATCGGTGGGAGAGGGAAGACGCGATCATGCTGACATGTCGCCCCCTTCCCCGTTTAGCATCCTCATCCTCTCCTTTCCTCCTTATACTCATCCCTTTTGTTTCTACTGCCATTCGAACGTCTGCAGGCTTCGTCGCCCCGATCGCGGGCGCGCGGATCAGCTTGCGCGCCCAGCTGCCTGCTCGCCAGTCCCATTCGGGCATCGTCACCGCGAGGAGGCAGATGGGCGCGGCGCAGCCGCGCAGCCAGGCGAGAGGCGTCGCGCAGGCTAACATCGCGATCTTCCCTCAGCAGGGGCCGAGGCAGCCTCTCGCGATCTCAGATCGCCCGGCGTGGAGCCCCGCGCCCCTCGGCGCGCCACCTGCGCCTGGGCCGCTGCTGGCGCTCCCGCCTCCGCCAGCGCAGCCACTGGCTGGGCCTGCACTCTGGGATAGTAGGCCCCCTGCGCCTCTAGCAGCAGCAGCGTCATCGGAAAGCGTCGAGGCCCCCGTCGAGGGCGCGCGGCTCGCTGTTCCGCCGACGGCCAACGCCGCGCTGGCGGCAATCGCCGAGGCGATGCCAGCCCATGCTGGGGCCGATGCCGCCGAGGGCGGCGAGTCGGCGATCCCACCGATCGCTCCCCGCACTTTCTCGGAGGTCGCGGCGGCCTCTGGGAGCTCCCGCGAGAGCGTGGCCGCCCCCAGCAGCTCGGGCCCCCCATGGGGAACGTGGGACATGAGCGACCGCGACCAGAAGTCGGCCCTGCACAGAGTCATGGAAGACGAGCTAAACACAGTGCTCAAGCGCAAGAAGATCAAGGAGAAGACGACGCCGCACAAGCACGAAGGCCCCGACGCGGGTTCCCCCCTGCAGGACGTCGGTGCGGCCGCGGCCGACGACGCGGACATGGCCTCCCAGGACTCAGACGACCAGCCGCTAGTGGGCGCGGCCAGCAAGAAACCATCGGCAGCGACGCCGATGGAGCTCGACAAGGGGCAGAAGCGCTCGGAGGCATCCGGGCCAGTTGATTCGAAGATCGGCGCCATGAAGAGGCCTGCTGCGGCGAAAGCCGCGGGCGACCCCGTCATGGGGGGGCCTGCTGCGGCGGAGCCTCAAGAGGCCGAGAACCCCCCAAAGGTCGAGTCAGCGAAGGGCGAAGCGGCGAATACCCCCTCGAAGAAACCGACTTCTGGGGCGCTGGTCCAGACGCCGAAACCCAAAGCGGCCACCTCTGCCGCGCGGAGCGGGGACAAGGCAGCAGCCCCGAAGCGGCCTGCAGCGACGCCATCACCAGCCCCAAAGCGCAGCCGCTCCAGCGAGGGGCTCGGCGCTAGCAGCTCGGACGACGTCGACGTCGCCGACCTGGGCTTGAAGCGTCCAGAGCTTCAGTGGCCAGGGGTGCCGACAGCGCACCGCCCTGTGTTCCAGTTCAACGGTTGGAACGCGTGGACCGACCACAAGGGGAAGAAGTGGAGGGTCCGGGCCATCGAGTGGGAGAACCCTTCGGACTTCGGGTACGGCTTCGGCCAGAAGGACCCCGCGCTGGCGAAGAAAGCTTGGGGCAGGCTCGTGAGCAAGGTGTGCTCGGCGCCCTAGAATGTAACCCCAGGGATTACACGTGGCTGGAGTCTGACAGCTCCATGCCTCTAGGAGGCCGTGATCTCGAGCTGCGAAGCATTGACGGCTCGCGCCGCAATGAGGGGATCTGAAAAACAACGCGCCGCAGACGCAGGCTAGGAGGAGAAGGAGAGGATGGACGCGGGACCAGGTGGGACCAGGGGGGGCCAGGGGGGACCAGGGCCCCTCCTCCTCCTCCTCCTCCTCCTTTCCTCCTCCCCCTCGTATCATTACATGCGTGCAAATACCATCATGTTCATGGTGCGTAACATCAGTAGCATCATCATCATCATCATCATCGAGTCGCCATGCATGCGAGGTGGCTTGCCACTCCGCCATTCCCTTCCACCGCCCCCACTGCATCTAAACTCGCGCGGCGGGGAGTTGGCTCGCCACCACGGCCGAACCTTTCGTGCAAGAGGGGGCGGCGGAATTGCAAAAACAAGCAGCGGCGAGCCGACTATACGCGCGTGAGACAGCAGCGGGGCGGCGGAATTGCGAAAACATCAAGCGGCGAGCCGACTATGCGTGAGACAGCAACGGGGATGACGACGACCAAAAGGAAAACGACGACGGAAGCGACCAACAATTATGTAACACATGGTATATTCATTGAAAACACATCGCGCTAGATCAAAACTCCCGCTCGAGACGTCCTCCTGGTTCATTGGAAAACCTGAATGGACATCAATCTACGCGTTAGAGAGCCTTCTTCTTGGATTCGTATGTGCTTTCATGGGCGGCGTTCCTGAAGTTTTTTTTGACCTTCCGACGGGGCGTCTTGGGCGTTCGCTTGGGCGCGCAACAACGCGCAAGCAATAACATGTTTAACAACAACAAAAACAACAACATATTGGCTGCGGCCGTCGCGCGCTTCCAAGTTCCCTTGCAAAAAAAAAAAACGGTGCAGATTTTTTTGCCCTACTACTACTAATGTAAAAAACTGTGCCAATCGTTTCTAGAAACTACCACTACAGCGACAACCTATGTGAAACCTAAGTCAAAGCTAAGTAAAAGCTAACTAACTGCTAAGTCAAAGCTAACTGAAAAGCTAAGCGCGCGCAATCGACATGCAATTCAATTACATATCGAACGCAACCTCGCATATAACCAGTTAAGTACAACCCACAAGTAAGCCGACTTGGACTTGCCAACTGTTTATAAGCGGTCGACGACTTACAATCAATTGTTAAGTTTATGCCAACATATATGTAGTGAAATATCTCCGCATGACAATATATACATTGGGTTACAACTAAGTGCTAAACTTATAAGTACCCCCGCTCAGCGAAGTAAACGGCGGGTCGCTGCCGCTCGCGCCCCCTGCCTCGCCCGGCGGCCCCAGGGCGAGCAGGCGCCCCCCTTCCATAACGAGGAGAAGGAGAGGATGGGGGGGGGGCAGGGGGCGGGGGAGAGATGGGGGGGGCGGGGGGGCGCAGGCAGGGGGGGCAGGAAGGGCGGGGGGCGGGCGAGGAGGGGGGGGGGAAGGGAAGAGAAGGGGGGGCAAAACTATGGAAAAGGACGACGGTTTCGCTTCAGATGAACACCCCTGTCGGGTTGTTTCCGTCGCTGCCGGCGCCGCCTCGCTCCGGGCCCGTCGCGCGCGACCCGCTCCGGAGAGGATGGGGGAGGGGGCGGGGGGGGGGAAGGGCAGGGGGGGAGGGGCCTGGCGCGGAGCGGTGGGCGGTGGGGCGGTCGTGCTTCGTTGTGTTATGCGTGTCCTTCCTCCCCTCGCGGCCCTAGCCGCGGCGCGGCTTGGGCACTTTGCCGCGTGGCTTCGGTTTGGTGGCACCTCCATGATGCCGGCGCCCTTGGCCTTCTCCATGACCATCTCGGCGCCCTCTTCCACGTCGCGGCGGATCTTGTTGAGGGTGTCCTTGTCCAGTGCGATGGAGGTGATCAGCTCCGTGAAGTCGCGCTCGGCCAACAAGAGGGGCACCTCGTCTTTGCAGTGCGTCGACCAGCCCGGCGCGGCGACCGACATCGGCCACCACGTGCGCAAAGGTTCCTCTGCGGCCCCATCCCAATCAGCGCCGCGTAGACGCCCTTCGGCGCGCTCTCGATCGCCTTCCGGAGCGGGCCGCCGGCCATGATCGCAGACGCCTTGTGCGTCATGCCTTCCGCCTCGATCTTCGACTTGATATGGTCCAAGGTCTCCTTCATCTCGTTGTTCTACTTCGTGTCGAAAGTGATGGGCGGGCCGGCCGAGCGCGCCTTGCCCATTAGCTCGTTGGTTCCTCCGTCGCGCGAACACGAGCGGACCAATTTGCCCATGCCCTCGGAGAGCTCCTTCATGCTCGTGGCCCGGCCCTTCCACGCAACAATGTTATTGCTGAGCGGGGCGCCCAACTTCCGCCCCAATTTCTGCGCGTTCGCCGCGGAGGTCTGCAGGCGGCCCAGCGTGCTCACATCGCCGTCGGCCTCTCCCTCCCCCATCGGGGCACTGGCTGCCGGGGCGGCCGCCCCGGCGAAGGTGCCTCCGAGCGTCAGGCGTCTGTGTTTCGCGCCAGCCGGTTGCGGGGTCTCCTGTGCCTCCTCTTCCTCGGCCTCCTCCTGATGGCCGGCCGCGTAGTTCTGCGCCGCCGTCCTAACGTCTGTCTTCGCTGTCGCCGCCTGGGCCTTCAGGCGCTGGAGCGTTTGCCACCGCTTGGGGTTCGGCCCCGTGGCCCCGAGCCGGGGGCCGGGTTAGTCCGCGCTGCTGTGCTCGAAGGCGTGGGCCATAGCGCGCCGCGCAGGCTTTGGGAGTCTTGCGTGGCCCGTTCGACTCGAAGACTGAAGCTCGGTATGTTTGTATGCGTGCGTGCATGTCTGTATGTATGTACGTATTCTTGTATGTATGTATGCATAACAGGCTGTATGGCTGCGTGTTAATATGTAAATGTGTAGATATATACGTATATGCATGTATACGTTTACATACATACAAATACATACATATAGCAAACAATCTCCTCTCCTCCCCAGCCGGCCAGCCGACATTTTTTCTTGAGGTCGCGGCATAGGCGAGCCTCTCCAGGGCGGCGGCCGACGAGGAGGCATCTAGATGAGACCACGCTGCCACGGCTTCCACCCAGCTGGCGTGTAAGCAAGACAGAGCGGGCGGGCGCGGCGGGAGCGATTGCTGCGGACAGCTGTTGGAAGGGCAGATACACGACGTCAGAGTGGCCAGCTTCCCTGGCTTCGAAGGTCTAGATTCATGAACGAGCGCGCCCATCTACAATCTCCTCTCCTCCCCAGCCGGCCAGCCGACATCTTTTATAGAGGTCGTGGCATAGGCGAGCCTCTCCAGGGTGGCGGCCGACGAGGAGGCATCTAGATGAGACCACACTGCCACGGCTTCCACCCCAAGACACTGCAGCAACGCCAGGTTACCCTACGGGCCCAGGCCGAACCTTCTGTGGGCGATCAGAGCAGAAACGAAACATCACGAATTTTCTGCACAGACTGCTAGGGTATGGCTCGGCGGCTTTTGTTGGAAATTTACCATCGCGGCGGCTATCAAGGATCACATGTGGCTTATGGGTGCGATCACATATGCCCCGCTTCGACGAACAGCGACGGACGGCACAACGATGTTGAACATGAAATGGCAAGATGCGAATACGCTTTCTCCCATGGTTTTCCGAACGTGGAAACAACCGTGTACATGATGTTCGAGTCGGGCAACTTAGCTAGCTGTACGAACTGGGGGGTCCTCCGCACCATCGAACTCTGCGGGTTCTCGACAGAGCCCGGTATAGAGAGACGGCGACACAACATAATGAGGAACATAGCGAACTTCATCATAATGTTTCCGATGTCGACCTTCTGCTGATCTTTGGGCCCCAGTCCAGGGGGCCCCATGATATGGTCCGAAGATCTTAGAGGACCTGGGCTGGTACGAGTAGCACGCCTAGCCATGAACCAGGAATTACAAGGTAAACCGATCCACAGAGCAGCGATGAAGCCTGACATTTTCTATCCACGAACTATTGATTGGCATCGTCTGTTCAGTAGATCGACCTTGCCGCCACGAATGAAGCCCCATTCGAAAATCGGAATGTTGGAAACAGCGGCCTCTCTTCTCCAAGCACGTGAGAAGGCACCCGATCCACTGAACTGTTCAAGAGCGACACCTCTCGGGCAGTCCTTCGCTACCCTCGGGAGGCACTGCAAAGGGTCAACGACAGAGATTCGCGAGCTTCCATGGCCCCCTCCAGCTGCTCGGGCGAGAAGCGCTGGAGCACCTCGGCGACCCGGCCGCCTTTCTCGTAGCGGTGCGTGCTCGCCTTGGACAGCCGCCGCCCGCGTCTCTGGGCCTCCTCCGCGCCCCTGGCCTTCCGCGCCAACTCGTGGGGGGCGCCCCCGCGCCGGAGCTGGTGGAGGTGGTGCGCGCCGACCTCGCGGTGGCCGAGCCTGTCCGCCGCCGCCGTGAACGCCTTCGCGAGCTTCGCCTGCGACGCGTTCAGCAGCCTGTCCGTGTTCAGGTCGTGGAGGCGCTCCCAGACGGGGTTGAAGTCGGCGAACTCGGGATTGTCCAGCAGCAAGGCTTCGTCGAAAAGCCTAGGCACTCGGCTGGGTGAAGCGGGGGACTCCAGTATGTCACTCCGCTCCAGACTCCACCCACCGGCGGCGCGAGGCCCCTGCCACGCGTCGGTTTCACGTCGATCGGGCGGAGGTAGCCGAGGAAGACCAGCGCGACCAAGGCACCCAGGATCCAGCTCTCCCCGTGCCCCGCCATTTTGAAGGCGATGGCCGCTGCCATCAGCCGCGGGCCTCCATGAGGAACCCGATCTGCACGCGGCGGGCCCGTTTGAGCTCGACGCCGCCCTTGGAAATGTCGGCCCACGTGAACGCAGCCGCGGCCCGCACCTTTCTGAAGTCCTCGGCCGTCGCCCCCTGGAAGTACAGCTGCGTGCCGCAGCTGGCCAAGGCCCAGTCGCGCTCCGGCGCAGTCCCCAGCTCGGAACTGCGGCGCCTTGCCCACTGGTGAAGTCGCCCATCAGCTTGGCGCATGTGCCCTCCATCGGTCGTGAATACGACCGGGCCTCGAGGTAGGTCAGCTCCGTCGGCGCCTGGCCGAAAGAGGGCGGCCTCGCTCTGGAAACGGGCTCGCTGCTGAGCCCGCGCCCCCCGCGTGTCGGGCGCCGCCTCCTGCCCGCGGCCTCGCTGCAGACTCGATGGCGCCGCGGACATCGGCCTCGCCGGTCTCCCCAGCGCCATCGCGCGCCCCGTCTCGGCTGGCGGAGGTCGACGGAGCATCCGTCCACAGTGCGGGCGGAGGCGTGGGAGGCTCCAGGACTGCCCCGGAAGCTCGCTCGAGAGTGCGTGGCTGCGGGGCAAACATCCTGGAGGGACCGTCGGTTGGGTTCGACTCTCTCTGCATGCCCATCGCACCCGCGGAGATACCCCCGCACATCAACACCAAACTCCCACTGACGACATATGCGGTTTATCCCAGGCACCGAAGATCTCCCCTTGCTCATCATGAGGACGACGGACATCGCGTCAGCGAGTAACAAGATCCGTTGTTGATGATTCTCTGCAACTCGCAACTGGTGCTTGAGGCTCCACAGGAGAGCACGCGCCTCGAGCAAAGGCGCGCGCTCGGACTTCACCCACCGATCGGCTGAAACGGTAGACCAGCCACGGTCGAGCAGCTCGACAGGGACCTCTGGAAAACCATGCGTGCTGTGATTGTCGCTCGGGGCCCAAGCGCCCTTGATCCGGGCCGTGAGATGGTGTCCCGCCATGGCGGCGTGGACACTGGCGTGGGCGCTGGTTGCGCTGGCCGGCGGTCCTCACCATCTCCTCGTCAACAGTCGCCGCAGGGACCCCTCGTTCCCGCGGCGACGCGTCAGAGGCGGTGGCCTGCGTGGCCCACTTGGCCGAGAGGTCGCGGCGCAGCAACGGGGGCAACGCTGGCGCCCGCCGCAGCTCGCGGCGCACCGCCAGCCACAGCTCAGCGCCCTCCTCTGTGTACTTGGCGGAGAAGAGGTACACCGCGCTGAAGATGGACAGGTACTCGCGCCGGAGCAGCGCGCCGAACGCCAGGTGCCCCGCGAGGCTCTCGAGCTGCCTGCCCGAGCAGCGGCCGCGGCGAAGCAGTTCGCCGATGCCGAGCCGCAACCTCCAGAGGCGCCTTGGGTTGACAGCGACCGCCGCGGAGTCCGCCTCGAACCTCCGGCCTAGCGAGTCCCCGCCCGCCTGGGAGGAGGCTCCATGCGTGGGCAGCCCCACCTGCTCGAAGACCTGGTCGGCGGCCTCGGCGGCCCTCCTTGCAGCTGACTCGTCCTGAGAGTAGCTCGCGAAGTTGTCGACGTACTCCGCGTGGGCAAGGGGGTCCAGTCGAGGAACAGCGCGCCCATCCTCGATGCGGTTCCCACCGTGCAAATCAGGGGCAGTCTCCACCATGTACTTATTATGGATAGTCTGGCACATCTCCACTGCATGTGACCAGCCCATGGGGGCTACCTGGAGACAGGGCACGACCAGTTCATGAGGTTGAACAGACCCCTCGACCGTCTCAGTCACACCGATTTCACCAGCACGCGCTGGGTCGAACCCGAAAAAATGCGCAGCTCCAGTGGCAACTCTAAAGCGTAGAATGCATTTGTGATATCCACCTCCCCAAGAAATATGGGATCGCCCTGGTCAACATCCACCGACGAGAAAGACTGGCCTGTAGCAAGACTGAAATCCGCTCCATCTGAAAAACGGCAGTTCGACCATCGAGCATCCACTATTAAACGCTGTCTCCCATCCTTCTTGAAAACCGAAAAGAGCCCAACCCGTTCTCGACATGGGGGTCGTTGAGTGGCCCCTTTACTCCCGTCGCCACCTTGCGACGCTCCGCCTCCTCATTTGGCAATGCTCTATCGACTAGGCCCTTCGCAAGCTCAACGCCGGCAGCCCCGCGCACAGCAGTCAGAGACGCTGGCCTGTGACCCTTCTCTGGCAAGGCGAGCTGACTAACGTCGAAAGGGGCCCGCGGTGCGAGATTTACCATTGTGGCCGCGGCGGGTCCAGAGCTCCCGCAAGGCTCCCGGGCCGTCAAGATTGTCGGGGGGCTTCCCCGCCGCGTCGGTGCAACGTGCGATGTAGTCACGAAAGACACTGCTGCTGCCCCAGGGTAGGAGGCGACCGTGTCGGAGGTGAGATAGACCCACTCGGACCAATCACCATCTCATTCAAGGCAAGCGCGGTGTCCTGCGACCATTGGTTGACGTGAGTCCGTCGATGACAGCGCCTCCTGCAGCTTCGTGAGAGACGGCCCACGTCGGGGCAACTCAACTCGCCCGCAAACTCGCCGACGACTGGCAGAGATACCAGGTCCCACTGACGACCGTCACGAGGTCTGAATTTAGTCATGCTTGGAGACCCGCAGGCTTCCCGGGGCGGCCCCTCTCCCTGGCTAGGTCGAGGGGCCATTGCTGCTGTAGGGCTACTTTGAGGCCGCGGCCCGCTGATCACGGGCCTTGCGGATCTGCTTCAACACCGAAGCGTTTCTCTGCACCTCCTTCGACACGTAGTCAAGGAGCTCGGGCGCCACCATCACGGTCCCGGACTCCATGTGGGCGCCAGGGGAGATGGCGCTCTCGTCGTACATCCCAGCCCTGAGCAGCGCCGGGCCACCGTGG